CCAACCCTTTGCCATGCAGGAACTCACAATCAAAGCCCCCCTGACATATGGCCATCCAGCCTCTGTTTAAAGACCGCCAAAGGAGACTACACAATGCTCTAAGGGAGCATCTTCCACTGTCAAACAGCTCTTACTGTCAAGAAGTTCCTCCTAATGTTGAAATAGAATAGTAGTTGGCAAAGATCACCTAATAGGTTTCCATTGGCTGAACAGGGATTCAAACCCTGATCTCCAGAGTTGTAGTCCAATGACTACATCCATTGTTCCAGGTCCTAGTCTCCGGAACAGCATCCTCAATATGATGCCCCTTCAAATACTTACACAGGGCTATCATATCACCTCTTAAGGGAGTAATACAGTTTGACCACCACTTGTACTGCCATGGCTCCATCCTGTAGGATCCTGGGATTTGTAGTTTGGTGAGGCATCAGCACTCTTTGGTTTGTTATTGGGTGCTTTCACGTTGTGTTCCTCCAAGCAATGGTCCTCCCTGCAGAATTTCACATTTCCATCTAGGGCAGGAGTGGAGGAGGAGGAAGTCGTAGCTCCTTTCTCCTTCCCTGTATGTTCAATATGTAGAAAGAGCCTAGAAACTAACACGGCTATATCTTTGCATGCTCAGGTATGAGAGGAAGCTTCTGATCACTGCATGCAAACTCAGGGTGCATCTGCAGATTCTACACTGTAGAAATAATGCAGTTTGACACCACTTGAACTGTCATAGCTCCAACCTATAGTATCCTGGGATCTGTAGTTGAGGTACCAGCACTCTTTGGTTTGTTGCAGGGTGCCTTCAAGCACTGGCTCCATGCAAGATTTCATATTTTCATATAGGGCAGGAGTGGGGGAAGTAGAACCTCCTTTCTCCTTCCCTGTATGCACAGGTATGGGAAGAAATTTCTGATCATTTTCATGCAAACTCAGGGTACCTCTACACTAGTAGTTCCCAAACTTTCATCCTCCAGAAGTTTTGAACTTCAGCTCCCAGAATTCCTGACTGCTGGCCAAGCTAGCTTTTGGGAGTTGAAGTCCAAAACACCTGGAGGACTAAAGTTTGGGGATTGCTGATTACATGTAGAAATAATGCAGTCGGACACCCCTTGAACTGCCATGGCTCCATCCTATAGAAGCCTGGGATATGTAGTTTGGTGATGTGAATATGTGTGTGCATTGCATGCCTTCAAATTGTTTCCAATTTATGGTGAACTTAAAAAGAAAAAGGAGAAGGTATAAAGAAATGAATAAAGTAATTAAATTCATGACCTACATTTTTCAAGGTTTCTAGTTTAGTAGGAATATTTCTGACCTCTGGAAAGCTGTGGGGGCGAGAAAAAGGGAATAATATGTCATTTTTTTGAGCAATATTGTGCAGTACTGAAGAATTAAAGCAATAAATCATTTTTTTCAACAACAACAAAAAAATTATGGCCACCAGATCAGACACATTTAAGGAATACCTGGTTAACATTGCCATAAGGTATTATTTGATTGGTCTCTATCAGTTTCTGGGGAACATTGTGGGTACAAAAAGGCTCATGTTGTCCTTGTGGCCTTTCTAGAGACAGAGCTGGACTAAATAGACTTTTGGTTTGATCCAATTCAGCTTTTAATAGGAAACTTCACAAAGGAGAGGGTGTCAAAGATGTCGGTCAACACTTCCCATCCTTTTCCAAGGGTTGAAAGATGCTGGGCTATCACCCTTTCAGTTTTCCTTTGACAAAGGCTGCATCTGCACTGTAGAATCAATGCAGTTTGATGCTGCTTTAACTGCCATGGCTCAGTGCTATAGAATTCTGGGATTTGTAGTTTGGTGAGAGATTTAGCCTTCTCGATTACAGAGCTCTGGTTCCACAACAAACTTCAAAACCCAAGATTCCATTACATGGAGCCATGACAGTTAAAGCAATATCAGACTGCATTAAATCTGCAGTGTGGCAGCAGCTGGTGAGAAATGAGTAGATATTTAGGGAAGGGCATGCCAGCATGGCGTAGTTGTCTGGGTGTTAGCCTACAACTCTGGAGACCAGGGTTCAATTCCCCACTCGGCCATGAAACCTACTGTGACCTTAGGCAAGTCACACTCTTTCAGCTTCAGAGGAAGGAACAAATCTTGCCAGGAAACCCCCATGATAGGTTAGCCTTAGAGCTGCCATAAATCAGAAATGTCTTGAAGGCACACAAGAACACATTGAAGCAAACGCAACTTTTATCTGCAAATATGCAAGCGAGCCTATGCCAAGCAAGAGCATTCCCAGATATAGCAGTTTGCAAGGTTGATCGGTTTGCATGAAAATAT